TAAGATGGAGGCCACCAGAACCGTGTCTCAGTCCCGGCGCCGGTAGTGCCTGCGTGCTGTAGCCCTTGCTGTTCCTACAGGCATAATGGTTGCCTTGCGTTCACAAATTACTTTGATCTCGGCCAAGTTCCAGGGGAGCCCCTGGTTGTTCCTTGGGCCTGGCAGAGCTCATTACTAGGTCTACATACTGCCAGCCTCCCAAGAGCCTCCATTAGATCGCTTAAGCTGAAACAACAAACATCAGTTCACTTGCATGACATCAGACACGTTTACCTCTGCATGCATCGCTTCCACAGTTTCCTTGGCTACACATCTAACCCAGATACAAAGTGTTAGGACCTGTTGGTGACCAAGAAAAGCAAGAAGCCCTATGGCTGTAGGAGTCCTGTGCGGACATACTTATGTCTGCAGCACAACTCGTGGAGTCCCCTGAAATGTGCCAAAACTGCTGAAAGGGAGACATTTGTGCCTTTTCCATAAAGCATTCTGATTTTACTGCTCCTGTCTCCTTCCAAGCCATGGGCTGGACTTTTCCTTGCCATGTCCACTCTCAAGCTTCTACTTACACCACCAGAAAAAGCTGGTGAGGCAGGGAATGGGAAGCTGGAGATACCAGCCTTGGGGCAGGACACTCCTGGTCAGTGCCCACCAGCCCCACAGATGCCTGTGTGGAGTGTACTGCCCAGTGAGGTTCTGCTCCAGGTTCCCTTGCCGTGAGTAGTTGAACATCATTAGCTAAAGGTAACAGAAAACAAAAGCCTACTCCTAATTTTCTTGCCTCTCTCCTCAAAACTGGTCATCAGAAGGGATGTGTGGCTTATCCTGGTAGACATACCATCAAGCTGTTTTGTACTGGTTGGTCATGGGGCTGTGTAGATGCTGTAGGAGGATTCAGATACCTGGGAAAGCAGCAGCTGCATAGATTTAGGTGTGATTTCAACCATTCTCAGGAACACAGGAAGCAAACAGAGGCTGTAGAAGGTCTGCAACAGGTAGCTGATGCATTGCAGATGTCTGCATAGTAGTATGTGGACAGGTGGAAGGTCAACAGCACACATGGACAAACAATGCCAGTGCTGAGAAGCCACTGGAGTAGACTGGAACCAGCTCCAAAGCCTTGTTCAGAGGAGTTAGATGACAAAATCTAGCTGGGAGAACTGCAGAGATCAACTCCAAACAGTGACAGGGAAGAAAAGGAAGTAACAGGCAATTGCCATAACAACACTATATTTGCCTGTAAGCCTAAGTATTTCAAGTATTTCATGCCTTCATAGGAACTGGCATTTCCTTCATTATCCCACTTTACTCTCCTTTTGTTTGTGTTTAGCCAAATTTCTGAAACAGCCACAAAATTAATTTTTGAGTATGTTTTATCTAATGGGTAAGATAAATGGTTTTCTCAGAGCACACTTAAAATGTCTTCCATAGGTTTACACCAACCAACATCTCAAACGCAAAACTCAATACATTTATTTACTCTTCCAAATTGACAGATTCAAGTTAATCCTTTTATTTTTAAGGGCCATTTATTAAATGCAGTTAACATGACAAATATAGGCTCCCCATATTTGTAAAACTGTCTCCTAAGTCCATATCTACATCATGAAGTTCAGCTTCATATTTGCTAGGGTACAAACACAATTAGAATAAGGCATACAAAGGGCTTCCAGCAACATCTTGTATCTTG